TCCTCTAGTTTTGGAACCTTTCCAATTTTTTTCAGTAAGAATATGTCTAATATGAGCAATATTATTCACAAGAATCTAAACATGGCTACATATTGCTCATGTTAGAGGCCCTGTTTGGGACGATTCCAACATTTTTTGAGATTCGTTTGCAGTGATAATTTGTCTAATATGAGCAATATATACCGTAAGCGTCTAGACACGACTACACGTATTGCTCATGTTATAGGCCTTGTTTGGAACGTTTCCAACTTTTTTTCGAAATTATTTTTTTTCAGTAATAATTTGTCTAATATGAGCAATATTATCCATAAACGTCTAGATATGACTACATATTGCTCATGTTAGAGGCCTTGCTTGGAACCTTCCCCATTTTTTTTCTGATACTTTTTCAGTAATAATTTGTCTAATGTGAGCAATATTATCCATAAGCGTCTAGATACGACTACATATTGCTCATGTTAGAGGCCTTGTTTGGAACGTTTCCAACTCTTTTTCGAAATTATTTTTTTCATTAATAATTTTTTTCTAATATGAGCAATATCACCTATAAGCGTCCAGACACGACTACATATTGCTCATGTTAGAGGCCTTGTTTGGAACGTTTCCAATTTTTTCTGAGATTTTTTTTGGTAGTAATGTGTCTAATATGAGCAATATTATCTATAAGCATTCAGACACGAATACACATATTGTTCATGTTAGAGGTCTTTTTTTTGGACCGTTTCCAACTTTTTTTGATTTACCTTTACAATGAGATTATGGCTAATATGAGCAATAGCATCCATAAGCGTCTAGAATACATATTGCTCATGTTAGAGCCTTTTTTGGAACGTTTCCAAGTTGCCTAATTGATGGCGAGTTCGTGTCAAAGGGTAGTTTGGTTTCAGAGAAAAGCAAGAAAAATAGAGAAAAAAAAAACTTGGAAAAAAGAGCTTTCCAGTGGATCGAGAGCTCTCCTCCTCCCCCCCTATCCCCCAACATATTTGTGTCGTCGACGACGACGTCAAGTTGTCACTTTGGACGCCGCGCACCGGAAGCTCTTTTTGGGCTCTTGGAGCACCAGATAATTGCTCGGCGAAAGGCCGGCGCGACAATTTTCATTCATTCATTCACCCCAATAAAAATTGGTCCCAAACCACACACACAACACTATTATTGTTGCCTTTTCTTATTTTTTTTGTTTTAAATGTGGTCGCGTTTGGAATGGCTCAGCGCGTCGCGGTCTTCAGTTTTAACATGTTTTCATATGCCACCCCGCCGAAGCCGTTTCAGGTCGGGCGCGTTTTGAAAGCAGCAGTTAGGCCATTCCAAACGCGACCATTTCGACGTATCTTCTATCGTAATAGCTTTTTTACCTCAATTTTTGAATTAATTGGACAGTCAAGGTTTTTATTCTTACCTGGTCGCATTTGGAATGTCTCGGTGCGCCGCGGTCTTTGGTTTCAACAAGCTCTCATATGCCATCCCGCGGAAACCGTTTCAGGTCGGGCGCGTTTTGAAAGCAGCAGTTAAGCCATTCCAAACGCGACCATTTTGTAATAGCTTATTCGTACGATATATTGATTTATGTTGACAGTTGAGAAGCATATTTATTAATTTTCATGAACCTGGTCGCATTTGGAATGGCTGCAGGTTTGAGCCATTCCCAAAGTGGTCATTTTTTTAAATTTAAAAAAAATCTTTTTTTCGAGTTATTTTACTATTTTTTTGCCGCTATAGCTGCATTCCACGCATTTTTTCATTCATTTTTTTGAAGTAAAATATTTATTTTTTTCTTCAAAAATCATTTTTTTATGGATCGTAGAGTTTCACCAACTTTTTAAAAGCTTTTTGAGAACTCCTGAGCAAATTTCACCCTTTGGATATGTCATTTTTCAGAAATTAGACCTTTTGAGCTTCCCTCGAAGGCCGTTTGTGCTGTCATTTCGACTCAAAAATCTGGATATTTTTGATATTTTTCTGCATAATTTTTTTGATTTCAATACGTAGTTCTTATTAAAAAAAAGATGATAAATCGAAAATTTATTGAAGTTTTTTTAAAGTATCATTTTATTTTTTTTTGTTAAGAATTGGTCATTCTTTGGAAGATTTTTTTCAGCTTATAATCGTAGTTTTTTTATTTAATTTTTTTAATTTCGGTCACCAGAAAATCGATCTTTTTGAACCTCTCTTGATTAAAAAAATGAAAGAAAATCTCCAAAATTCGGCTGAAATCAAGCGAAAAAAAGTGCAAAAAAAGAGGGAAATACAATGGCGGCAAAGTGTGTCCTCCGGAAACGCCTTTCCGCTCAAATTCGCGGCGAAAAAAAAGAATTTCACAACTTTTTCCCTTCCAGTCAGCTGGTTTTGAACCCTCGACCTTTTGGACGGCATTTGAGACGCTTAACCTCTTGACCAAGGCGACGTCGTTTTTGTTTTTCATGAGAGACCACGACTCCAAGTAGTCTTCATTTTTTTTTGGACCAAAAACAATGTGTTTGTGGAGCTCATCCATTTCAACTCACGCATTCTATTCCCGTTTGACTCAACTTTCCCTTTTTTCTCATTTTAGTTGGTAGAAGTTGGGATCCGTACCAGGGCCTAGCCGATAGGCCAATGATTTATTGAATTTTTTGAGGTCTTAGTTTCTTTTGAAAAAAAAAATTGGAAAAAAATTGGCCAAGGTCCGATTTTTAATCAAAAAAGGTCAAGAAATCTTAGCCAGAAAGTTTTTTTTTAATTTTTGGTGACAATTTTTGCCTTTTCAGTCCGAGGTTTGAACCAGAGACTGTCTAGGAACCCCAGAGTGGTCCTAAAAACTCTAGAGGGGTCCCTATTATGGGCTCTTGGAGAGTTCCCCCTAGGGGCCACTTTACCAACCCCTATAGGGGCCACTAAAGCTTGCAGAAGTGGTCCCTACAGGAAGAAGCATTTCCAGGTGAAAAACTGAATAGATAAACGTTTTCGAATGAAATTGAAAGGCCCCTTAAGGGTCCACTTGAGCCCTATAGAGACCGTCTTAATTTTACCCCTATAGGGACCACTTTCTCGACCACTACAGGAACCACTCTGGAGCTTCTAAGGTGACAACAGAAGGCTTAACTTTAGCCAGTAGACCAAAATTTTGACCCTCTGCAAAAAGAAAAAAAAAGTTTTAGCTAAAAGTCATTTTTGTTGCCATCTGGATTCGCACCAATGACCTCTCAAGAACTAAAAAAAATACTCAGCCACTCGGCCAGGCTTTTCTTGAAATTCCTGATTTTCTGTTCGCACTTTCGTGGGTGGAGATTGCGTCCCAATCGTTGATTATGCAAATTCGAATGACTTGATTATGAATTGAACGTCTCTTCTTCTCGTTCCTCACTTTCTGATCTCTCTTCTTGAGTTTTTCTTGAGATTTTATTGCTTATGACGTCATTTGACTTCAAAATCGACATACTTCATTTTTAATCGTGAAGTCACAATTTCGAGTTGTGACGTCACAATATCGAGATATTATGACGTCATTTGATGAAATTTTACTTGAATTGAACCGTTAGACGGGCTACTTTACTTTTAATCGTGACGTCATAATTTCAAGTCGTGACGTCATAATTTCAAGTCGTGACGTCATAATTTCAGTCGTGACGTCATAACTTCGAGCCATTATGATGTCATTTGGTGGGATTTTACTTTTAATCGACAGGCGGCAACTTGATCTTTAATCGTAACGTCATAATTTCGGTCGTGACGTCAAAGTTTTGAGCCATGACGTCATAATTTCGAATTTTATGACGTCCTTTGATGGAATTTTACTTTTAAGCGACAGGCGGCAACTTGATCTTTAATCGTAACGTCATAATTTCGGTCGTGACGTCATAATTTCGAGTCGTGACGTCATAATTTTGAGTTTTTATGACGTCCTTTGATGGAATTTTACTTTTAAACGACAGGCGAGCTACTTGATTTTTAATTGTGACGTCATAATTTCGATCATGATGTCATAATTTTGAGTCGTGACGTCATAATTTTGATCGGGACGTCATAATTTCGATCATGACGTCATAATTTCGAGTCGTGACGTCACAATTTTGATCGTAACGTCATAATTTCGAGTCGTGACGTCATGATTTCGAGGCGTGACGTCATAATTTCGAGTTTTTATGACGTCATTTGAGGAAATTTTACTTGAATCGACAGGCTAGCAACTTGATCTTTAATTGTGACGTCATAATTTCTGTCGTGACGTCAAAATTTCGATCATGACGTCATAATTTTGAGTCGTGACGTCATAATTTCGAGTCGTGACGTCATAATTTCGATCGTGACGTCATAATATCGAGTCGTGACGTCATAATTTTGAGCTGTAATGACGTCATTTGATGGATTTTTCCAAAAATCTCGTAGAAATTTTTTTATTCACTCATGTGGTGAGTTTCGGATGACGTCATTTTTTGTTTTGATGACGTCATTTTCTAATTTTTTGACTTTCTATCGTGATGAAATGGCGTCTTTTTCACTATACCATGTTGTATTTTTCTTCAAAGCTTCAAAAAGAAATCGTTATTTTCTTCTGAGAGCACATTTTAATCGTTGGGTACAACTAATTGCTATTTCCCCCAACCTTTGCATTTGAAAAATCAAAATTATCAAGTTTTTATTTTTGAGAAGAAAAAATTCTTTGTTATTTTCAAGCCTAAAAAGTCTTTTCTTCCGTTGGAAAGTAGCTCAATTTTTCTTTTTTTCGTCGTTTTTTTCGCTGCAAAGCCTTTTTTTGTTCGAATATTTTTTTAAAAAAATGTCACTTTCAGTCGTGCAAGAATGACGATTTTTCGCGAATGTTTTAGCGAATTTCTTTTTTTGTCATTTAGAAAGGTATTGCTTCAAAAATACCATTTCGATGACTTTTTTTCTCGATTCTGCCGTTCTCTTTTTGTATATCCCACTCTTCAAAGTCCTATTTTCAGATTTGGATCTTCAAAAATCGAAGCCAAAAAAGAGTTGGCGGAATAGAATACGTCAAAAAGAAGGCCATGACCTAAATGCGGCCGCAGGCGGTGCTGACGGTGCTGCTGGTCATGCTCGAGACGTTCACGTCTTCTGAATATTCTGAAGCTTCGGGAGGGAGCTCTGAGATGACTACCCCGACCAAGGCTGAAGTAGTTGGAATGACGACAGAGATTAGAAGACATCGAGAAGAGCCGCAGGGGCCTGGAAGAACCGAAGAAGCATTGCTGACGTCTTCTGAATATTCTGAAGTTTTGGGAGGGAGCTCTGAAATGTCCCCGACGTCCTCTGTTAAGGCTGAAGTAAATGGAGTGACGTCAGAGGTTGGAAGACGTCGAGAAGAGCCGCAGAAGCCTGGAAGATCCAAAGAAGCATCGCTAACGTCTTCTGAACATTCTGAAGCTGTCGGATTGCCGTCTGAGGCTTGGAGACGTCAGGAAGACCTAGAAAGGTCGATAGAACCTTCTGAAGCTTCTGGATCTGAAAAAGAGAATCTGAGCTCTGAACCGACCGTATCTGCAGCCCGGAGAAGTCCTGAAACCCCTGCAACCTTCTGGAGACGTCGACAGGAACCTCAGAAGTCGAGTCTAGAATCAGATTCTTCACCAGTGACGTCATCAACTTTCCAAACACCGTCTTCTGAATCTTCTACGAAGTCAACTCTTCCTAGAACTTCCCACCAAAGAATGAAAAGATCATCGAACCTTCAACGCCCACGTCGCCACCGTCTACGACTCCAGAAAGACCTCCGAAGACGTCGACGTGACTACGATCCTGCCGATGACGACGACGACGACTATGACGAAGACATGGCCGCTTTGGCCCGTGGCGACGACGACGAGGAGCTGGAGGAGGAGGAGAAGCAGCTGACCTGGATGAATCCTGAACATCCGGAACGACGTCCAGGACGTTTCATCGGCGAGGAGCAGACCGAGTTCGTCAGGACCGAGTATACCGATGCGGCCTACAAGAAGCTGAGGACGTATAGTGAGTTCTTTCATTATGATTTTGTCATAGAGCAGGGGGGAAAAGCTCTAGATGTGACTCTGAGGGTTGAGGGTTCGATTCCGCTCGGTGGAGAACTTTTTTGCCGTTCTTTTTTTTGAGCTCTTTGAGCTTGAGGAAGTTGGGTGATAGTTAGAAAAGAAGTAAAAACTATCAAAAAAGGAAAAAAAGGAGAAAACTTCTAAAAAGATGCCATTCAAAGGGTCATAGGTTCGGTTCCTCTCGAGAGCATTTCATTTTTTTGCCATTTTAATATTCGTTCCTTTCGGGTGTCAAGAAGTATTGTTTTAATAGAGGAAAAAAACTGTTTTATTTCCAAAAAAATTGCCACCCAAAAGGTCAAAGGTTCGGTTCCACTCGCGGGCTTTTTGATTTTTCGCCATTTTTTTCTATTTTTGTTCTTTCGGACTTCAAGAAATTTTTCTAATGAAAGAAAAACTGTTATGCTTTTGAAAAATCGCCGTCCGAAAGGTCGGAGGTTCGGTTCCACTCGAAAGAATTTCATTTTTTGCCATTTTCAAATTTTTTTTTTCTGAAATTTTAAGAGATTTTTTTCGAATGGAAGAAAAACTGTTACGCTTCAAAAAAATCCCCATTCAAAAGGTCAAAGGTTCGGTTCCACTCCAGAGCGTTTCATTTTTGCCATTTTATTATTTGATTTTTTCGTGTGTCAAGAAGAGTAGTTTGAATGGAAGAAAAACTGTTACGCTTCTAGAAAATCGACATTCGAAAGGTCAAAGGTTCGGTCCCACTCGAGAGCATTTCATTTTTGCCATTTTCGTATCTGGCTCTTTTGAAGTTCATGAAGTGTTGTTTTAATGGAAGGAAAACTGCCATGCTTTTAAAATGTGCCATTTAAAGGGTCAAAGGTTCGGTTCCTCGTGAGAGCGTTTCATTTTTTGCCATTTTCATATTTGGTCTTTCTGAGTGTCAAGAAAAGCTGTTTGAATAGAAAAAAGTGTTTTACTTCTGAAATTTTACCATTCAAAGAGTCAAAGGTTCGGCTCCCCTCGAGAGCTTTTGATTTTTGCCATTTTCATATTCGTTCCTTTCGGGTTCCAAGAGTGTTGTTTCAATGGAATTTTTACTTCTAAAAAGCTGAAAATTGAAATAAATTTGCCAACTCAATGGTCGTAGGTTCGGTCCCTCTCGAGAGCATCTCGTTTTTGCCATTTTTTTTCCTTACGTTTTTGAACAAGTAAAAGCGTTAAATCATCGTCAGCCACTTGAGGGCCCACTTAATTCGATGATGAGAACTCTCTGATGAGGCGGAACCGAACTAATCGCATTGGACGGCCATCAATCTTCGTGTAGTAGTTAGCGTTTCTTCACAGCTTCTGCTTCATCATTCGCACGTCGGCTGCATATTTTCACCCAATAATTTGCATATTTTCTCGTCTAGCGCCTTGATTTTGATTTCTTTCCATGTTTTTAAAGCTTTTTTTCGGAAGTTTTTAGTAGTTTGGAACGTTTTCAACTCAGAAAATAGCCCTATTTTTGGCCAATTTTTGAGCCTTTTTCTGGAATTTTGGCTCTCACCTTTTTGGAAAAGTTCTCCTCGGTTGGAACGTTTTGAAGTCAGAAAATAGCCCTTTTTTGACCAATTTTGGAGCCTTTTTCCTGGAATTTTGGCTCCCACCTTTTTTGAACAGTCTTGCTCCATTGAAACGTTTTTAGTCAGAAAATAGCCCAATTTTTGACCAATTTTTGAGCCTTTTTCCGAAATTTTGGCTCCTAGTTTTCTGTACACCTTTCTGGAAAAGTTCTCCTCGGTTGGAACGTTTTGAAGTCAGAAAATGACCATTTTTTGACCAATTTCGGAGCCTTTTTCCTGGAATTTTGGCTCTCAGTTTTTCGGTATACCTTTTTTGAACAGGTCTACTCGGTTTGAACATTTTTTAGTCAGAAAATAGCCCTTTTTCGATCATTTTGGAGCTTTTTTAGCATCTGGAAAAATCCATTTCGATACAATATTTTTTTCCCAACGTCTAGCGCCTTGATTTTAATTTCTTCCCATGTTTTATAGCCTTTTTTCGGAGCTTTTTAGTAGTTTGGAACGTTTTTGAGTCAGAAAAAAGCCCTTTTTTGACCATTTTTTTAGCCTTTTTCGGGTTTTTGGAAGTTTTTGAGGTTTTTTTAATCAAAAACGAGCCGTATTTATTAAACAAAACTAAATTTTCAGCTCCAAAAGCATCTGAGACGGTCCTTTCCAATTGAAAATGTCATGGAAATTTGAGATTTGTAAATTTTTGAGCTGATTTTTTTCGGAGAAATGCGATTTTTTTCACATTTTTTTCAGAATTTCACCCATTTAAAAAAAGGTTTTTCTTCTTAATTTTTTTAAGAATTTTTTTAGGAATTTTTTTCAGGATCTTCAGAAGCTTTGAGCTTTTTTTCTTGTACTTCTTCAGCATTAGGAAAGCTTTCAAAGTATTTTTTTAATGTTTTTTTCTTCGGGAATTTCAAATTTAGAACCCCCTTTTTTTCATTGGAATCTCAACCAACTTCCCTTTGACCCGAAATTTCCAAGAAAACTCAAAAAAGACGGCCGAAATTGCCCTGCAATTATAAATCTTGGTCAAAAGCGCCAACTTTTCCAACTCCATCCCAGCTTTTCTACGATTTCTTAGAGCTAAATATATTGAATTTTCAAATTTTTTTTTCTGGAAGATTTTTCTTCAGTTCAATTTTCGTAATGAACCTTCATTTGAACCGCGATTTTTTTTTCTTCTTTTTCTCGAGAAATATTCCCGAGAGTCGAGTGGAGAATATTTAATAAGTTGGGCACAAAAGAAGGACCCATATGCGAGAAATAAAAGATTTCCCCTTCCTCGACGGCCGGCTAAATGGATTAAAAATCGGTCGGATCCTTTCCTCTGGATTTCATGGGAAAGTTTAGCAAGTTTCTGAGTAATAATAGGCCTTTAAAAGGTCTGGGAGAGATCCCTGAAGTGATCCCTTCTTGAGTGGCCACTGTAGGGTTTTTTTTATTCCTTTTGTCATCTGAAACATAGAGTTTCTACTTGAATATTCTCTTAAGGGACCACTTTTACGTCTACTTTGGAATTCGCCGAGAAGAACGTTACAATTGTTTCAAGTATACCCTTTAGTGAATTTTTTTTTTTGAGGTAGTTCAGCAACTTTCTGAGTAGCTAGGAAGGTCAAAAAAAAAATCCCTAAAGTGATAACTTAAAGAAAAATTGTATTGAAATCTCTTTCCGGTCTTCAAGGGACCACTTAAGGGATTTTTTTTTCAATTGGATTGGAGATCAATTATATTTTTCAAAAATCCAGTTTTTTTCAATATTTGTTTTCTAGTTCTCCTTGAAATAAAAAAATATGAAACAACTGTTCCAAGAGATCACTTTAGTGGCGTCCTTTTTTTCTTCCAGTGGCTATTTTTGTTCGGTTTTTTCGCTCCAGCGCACACTCTCTTTCGAAAATAAGAAAAAAATTTTTAAAACCCGTCCAAGAGATCACTTGAGTGGCGTTTTTTCCCAGATTTTTTTCATCCAGTGGCTATTTTTATCCGGTTTTTTCGCTCCAGCGCACACTCTGCCTCCAAAAAAAAAACCCAAGTTGGGTTGGAAAGCCGCGCATCAGAGCCGCCCGTTATCCCAACCGGCAATCTTGTCCTCCAGCTCGTCTTTACTTACTTACATCTTCACTCATCTGGAAATTGGGCTTGTCTTTTTCAACTTTCTTTTTTGCCTTTTCAAGACGTTTTTAGATTTCTTTGTAGAAGTTCACTATAATTCTCATTTTTATCTTTAAATTGGATCCCTTGAGAGACCACTTAGATTTTTAAGGGCTCATAATCAATTTTTGCTTCACTTACATGCTTAGCTTCAAAATTGAATCCCTTGAGGGACCACTTGAACTTTGCCTCTTTAAAGATTTTTTTTTGAGTATTTTTCTTTGATCTTGATCTCTTCACCTTAGCATTATAGCTTCAAAGTTAGATCCCTTGAGGGATCACTTAGATTTTTATAGGCTCATAATCAATTTTATGTCCTTCACAGTAGCATTTTAGCTTAAAATTGAATTCCTTAAGTGACCACTTGAACTTTCTCTGTTGAGAGCCCGAAAATAACTAAAAATATATAGATAATGATTTTTTTTTTTGATTTTTTGCTGATCACCATAGCATTTTAGCTTTAAAATAAATCTCTTGAGTGACCACTTGGGCTTTTTTTTGTTTAAAAATGGAGAATAGAATTGTTCTGTGACTCTCCTTGGATTTCCGCTTTCATTTTAGCATTGTAGCTTCAAAACTGAATCCCTTAAGAGACCACTTGAATTTTTTCCTGTGAGAGTTTCATTCTGCTCGAATTCATGCTTAATATGCCACTACTAACTTTTTAAATTTTTAAATTTTTCACTTTTTTTCATGCTGAACTTTACATCCCCCCAAAAACAATATCAAGGGCCCAAAAACCGGCGCTTATTCCATTGGAAAAAGGGCAATTCGAGCTTTTTTTTCCACTCGAGTAACCGATGCCCCACGAAAAGCTTCTCGATTTCACTTCATTTCCTGTCCCTCACTCTATACCTTTTTTTTCGGCTTTCTCCATATTTGTGTTTGGAATTTTACCTTATAAAAAGTTTTTTTATAACATTCTGGGAAAATGTATGATGGCCACTATAGAGGCTCGCCAAGGACACTAAAGTGGCCACTAAACCCACCTCTATAGTGGCCACTATTTTCCGTTTTAGTGGCCACTTCAGTAGTTTTGCATCCAGTATTCCTTCCAGTAACTCTGATAATTTTAAAACAAATCGGACCAGTTATGTTAATCCATTGATCCCTAAAGTGGCCACTTAAATTTTTAGTGGTCTAGTAGGAGCACTTAGACCCCTATAGTCGCCACTAATTTTTAACCACTTAAGTGGCCACTAAGCTGACTACTATAGTGGCCTCTAAAACGTTTCCCAGTTGCAGAGAACCATTACTTATTTGGGAAACTAGTGACCACTTAAAAGATCCCTCAAGGACTACTTGAAGGGGTTACTAAAGAGGCCACTGAAAGTGATTCACGTTTTAGTGACATCTATAGTGGTTTTAGTGGTCTAGTAGTACTTCTATGGCTCATAAAGACAC